GGGAAAACTGGCAATGGCCCAGGATAAGCAGTTGAGCACTGGCACTTGAAGCTTTAGAATACTAGTAGTAACCGAGGATAAGTGGTAAAACATTGAAGTTATACTTGAGGTTTCAGAACCTTGGCAATAATCCCAGATAAGTGGTTGAACATTGAGACCTGAAGCCATAAAATAGTAACAATGACCACCGAAAACAGGTGGCTGACACCCAGCTATGATAGTCCTCTCGGATATATTGGACTACCTCCTCTTGTATGTCTCGCTGCTGATCTCTTGATCTGTGTACCTGTGGAGTCTCAAAAAAAATTGTATATGAAAAAAAAAATGCAGACATTCGAGGTTCTAGTATGTACTGTATATCCTGAGAACTATGGAAATGATTCTGGAAGTGGTAGAATGCCAACACGTCTGGCTCTAGACAAATTTGCTTTAAATCTAGGAGCCAGCTAAAAAATTCAGAAGCCATTTTTTTATTTATGTGTGTGTAGTGTGGGTTGTCAGCACCAGGGGCAAGGCAACTTTTGGGCAGCAAGCTTCACGTGATAAGATTTGCTGTGCAATAATCACTCATCATTGAAAATAATGGCACTTGAACCGGAGTTTTGCAGTCACAGAGATTCTGCCACAAAGCCAAAACACCCAGGTGTGAATGGAACCACCCTGGTTCACCCATATGTGATTCTGGACGCATTTTTAAACTCACAAATTGGCATGACAGGCTAGATATTATTTGTTCCTATGGAGGTAGCTCACACAGATGTGATCCACACGCATGGCGTTTTACGTGCCATTACGAAAAGGGTCCTGAGTGAGTTGGCAGCGCTGCGTTCCAGACTTGCAAGTGATAGAGTGGCAGGCGGAGATAGGTGTTCACATAGGATTGCTATTGACAAGAGTTTTTGCATTGAAGTCAAGGGGAGGCATTTTTGCATTGAAGTCAAGGGGAGGCGGTATGTGAACCCAGGCGCCAAGACAGATTTTCTAACTGCCTTGGCAACCTGGGATTTGTTAAGCTCTGCTCTAGAACATTAGCTATGACCCCCAAGTAGGTGGTAGAACACAGAGACTTAAGAACACTGGCAATGGACTTGGACATCGGAACACTAATGCCTGAGGCTCTAGAACGCTAGTTATGATCTCAGACAGGTGGTAAAACATTGATGCTCTAAAATACAGGCAAAGAACCAGAATAAGTGGTATAACACTTGAGGCACTAAAACTATGCCAATATGAACAGTGACCCTTGAGACTCTAGATTCCTGCCAATAGTTGAATGCTGACACTTGAGGCACCAAAACATTGGCATAGAACCAGGAAAAGTGGTGTAATTGGGAGATCTAAAACAACAACAACGACCCTTGATTGCCCAATTTCAAAGGGTATTAGCCGCTTCCCGCCTGCCCATTGACTATAGATGGCGGGCAGGAAGCTTTGCTGATGCGGGCCAATGTACCTGTAGGTCAGCCCGTATCGGTGGATGCACCGTGGCTCACAGAGCACACACCTGGGAGCCTGGCGATTGGTATGTTGCCTGAACATAGAGGATCACATTACTGGGCGAGCATATGGTGTTTTACCATGTGATTGCTGTGACAATCACACAGTAAACACTGAAAGTAAAGATCGGTTCTCTTTGCTCACAGTAAGAGCAGAGAACTGATGCAGCAGCCTGTCAGGCGGCTTGTACACTCACACTGCAGTACCAGCCACCCCAGTGTCCCTGATCACTGCCCTAGTGTAGTCATTAATAAACATGTAGCCAGCCCTGTCACCTGTTCCAATGTTTACAATAACAGCCATACACCATACCAGCACCCTGATCACCATCAAAACCCATACCAGCGCCCTGATCACCACCATATGCCATACCAGCATCCTGATCACCATATGCCATACAAGCACCCACATCACCGCCATACCAGCACCCTGAACACAGCCATACCAGTATCCAGACCACCCCATACCACCGTCCTGATCACCGCCATACCTCATACCAGCATCCCGACCACCCCATACCACCGTCCTAATCACCGCCATACCTCATACCAGCATCCCGACCACCCCATACCACCGTCCTAATCACCGCCATACCTCATACCAGCATGCTGACCACCCCATACCACCGTCCTGATCATTGCCATACCTCATGCCAGCATGTTGACCACCCCATACCACCGTCCTGATCACCGCCATACCTCATACCAGCATGCTGACCACCCCATACCACCGTCCTGATCATCGCCATACCTCATACCAGCATCCTGACCACCCCATACCACCGTCTTGATCATCGCCATATCTCATACCAGCATGCTGACCACCTCATACCACCGTCCTGATCATCGCCATATCTCATACCAGCATGCTGACCACCCCATACCACCGTCCTGATCACTGCCATACCTCATACCAGCATGCTGACCACCCCATACCACCGTCCTGATCACTGCCATACCTCATACCAGCATGCTGACCACCCCATACCACCGTCCTGATCATTGCCATACCTCATACCAGCATCCCGACCACCGTATACCACCGTCCTGATGTCAGGCAGGGCTGTGGAACGGACAGGTAGGTCTAGTGGCAGGGTAACGCACTGGCTGACGACAACCACCACCAACAGACCGAAGTCCCTCAGGGCGCGGAGTCTAAGTCCCAGGCTGCCCTTCACCAGGGCCCCTGATGGTGGGGATGGACTTGACGCAGCCAGGAACCAGGTCGCGGCCCCCGAGACACCCCGGCTGCGGTAATGGCCGCCGCCAATGGCATGTAGCTGGTGAGAATGACAATAGCGTAGTCAGGCAAGCCGAGTCGACAACAACAGGACAAAACAGTAGACAGAGAATCACAGGTCACGGGCCGGGTTCAGCAACGGAAGGTCAGATCGAAGGAAAACACAGAGAATGGTCTTAGTCACAAGCCGAGTCAGAATACCAGAAGAGTCACGAGCATATACACAGAGCTGTAGCAAGACAAAGACACAAGTGCAAAGAGCATGTGCGGATCACAGGCTTATATGTACTCAGCCACACCCCTCTGGGGGATGGACCTCAGAGACCTGAAGGCATAAAAGCTTCCCACCATGCTCAGCAGAAATCCAAGATGGATGCCAGCACATGGAGTAACATAACCTCTGGGAAAAGGTAGGGCCTTGACACCTGCCATACCTCATACCATGCCATACCTCATACCAGCATCACCGCCATACCGCATACCAGCATCCCGACCACCCCATACCACCGTCCTGATCACCGCCATACCGCATACCAGCATCCCGACCACCCCATAGCACCGTCCAGGCATTTTAGGGTCTCAACTGATACATTTTCAGATATAGATCCCAAAGTTTGTAGACTCTATAGCTGTCACACAGACTAAATAATATACACTGTTTTGGGTTATTTTTACCCCAAGAATTTAGCAGAATACATTTTGGCCTAAATTTATAAAGAAAATTATTTGCAAAGTTTTATAACAAAAAACTAAGCAAAAATATTATTTTTTCAAAATGTTTGGCATTTTTCGTTTATAGCGCAAAAAAAATAAAAAAAAACCCAGTGGTGATCAAATACCACCAAAAGAAAGCTCTGTCTAAAAAAAAAAAATGATACAAATTTCATTTGGGTATAGTGTTGCATGACTGAGCAATTGTCACTCAAAGTGTGAGAGCTGAAAGTTGGCTTGGACTGGAAGGGGGTGAAAGTGTCCAGACCTGAAGTGGTTAAACACTGACCATTACTAAATGTAACACCCAAGGACTTTGAACCCTAGCAATGGCCTCAGATAAGTGGTAGATCATTTGAGTCTGTAGAACCCTGCAAACAGCAGAACGCTGACACTCGGATGTCTAGAACCCTACTAATAGTGGAACACCAACAATTGAGGCTCTAGAACAACGATCTCCAAATGTGGCCCTTAGCTTGCCTTTATCCGGCCTTTGGGACAGTGTTCTTCCCCCTGATGTGAGGCACTTTCCTGATAATGCACCATTTCCCCCCACTGATGAGGTACCAATCATTCCACTGACCCCAACAGTGGGGTATTGTTCCTCCCAATGACGGGGCTCTATTCCACCCACTGGCACCAATGACGGGGCTCTATTCCACCCACTGACACCAATGATGGGGCTCTATTTGACACCACGGGGCTCATTCCTTGACACTGACACCAATGACGGGGCTCTATTCCTTCCACTGACACCAATGACGGGGCTCTATTCCACCACTGACACCAATTCTATTCCTTCCACCGACACCAATGACGGGGCTCTATTCCTTCCACTGACACCAATGACGGGAGCTCTATTCCACCCACTGGCACCAATGACGGGACTCTATTCCACCCACTGGCACCAATGACGGGACTCTATTCCACCCACTGGCACCAATGACGGGACTCTATTCCACCCACTGGCACCAATGACGGGGCACTATTCCTACCACTGACACCAATGACGGGGCTCTATTCCTGCCACTGACACCAATGACGGGGCACTATTCCTGCCACTGACACCAATGACGGGGCACTATTCCTGCCACTGACACCAGAGACGGGGCACTATTCCTCCCACTGACACCAGAGATGGGGCACTATTTCCACCGACACCAATGACGGGGTTCTATTCCACCCACTGACACCAATGACGGGGTTCTATTCCACCCACTGACACCAATGAAGGGGTTCTATTCCACCCACTGACACCAATGACGGGGCTCTATTCCACCCACTGACACCAATGACAGGGCTCTATTCCTTCCACTGACACCAATGATGGGGCTCTATTCCTTCCACTGACACCAATGATGGGGCTCTATTCCTTCCACTGACACCAATGATGGGGCTCTATTCCACCGACACCAATGACGGGGCTCTATTCTTTCCACTGACACCAATGACGGGGCTCTATCCTCTCACTGACACCAATGACGGGGCTCTATTCCTGCCACTGACACCAATGACGGGGCTCTATTCCTGCCACTGACACCAATGACGGGGCTCTATTCCTCCCACTGACACCAATGACGGGGCTCTATTCCTGCCACTGACACCAATGACGGGGCTCTATTCCTGCCACTGACACCAATGACGGGGCTCTATTCCTCCCACTGACACCAATGACGGGGCTCTATTCCTCCCATTGACGGGGCTCAATTCTTGCCACTGACACCAATGACGGGGCACTATTCCTCCCACTGACACCAATGATGGGACACTATTCCTGCCACTGACACCAGTGATGGGGCACCATTCCTGCCACTGACACCAGTGATGGGGCACCATTCCTGCCACTGACACCAGTGATGGGGCACCATTCCTGCCACTGACACCAGTGATGGGGCACCATTCCTGCCACTGACACCAGTGATGGGGCACCATTCCTCCGCCTACTAGGTACAGGAATTATGTAAGGTTTTAACCCCGCAGACCACCAAGCCCGACAATCTATTCCCGCTAACATGGGGCATTTTCTGCTCCTGCTGTCCATAGTCCAGCCCACGTAACTTCTGACCTACAGTAAACTGGCCCTTTTCTTAGAAGGTTTGTAGACTCCTGCTTTAGAACACTCTCAATAGTAACACACTGACACTAGAGAATCTAGTAATCTGGTGTGGAACACTGACACTTTAGGCTGTAGAACCCTGCCAATAGAACACTGACACTTGAGCCTGTAGCACCCTGCCAAGAGCAGAACATTGACACCTGTGGATCTAGTATACCTGGCCAAGAGTGGAGGACTGATATTTGAGGCTCTAGAATACCAGAAATGATCCTTCATTAATAGTTGTATTCTGAGGTTATAAAATACTTATAATTACTACTCTGGCAAAGAGCCCAGATCAGTGGTACATCACTTGAGGCTCTAGAACCCAGCCAAAAGTAGAACACTGAACCTCTGTGGTATCACACCTGTGGTGGAACACGGACACCTGTAGATCTAGTATACCTGACCAATAATGGCAGACTGATACTCAAGGTTCACGAAAGCTGGGGATCTAGAATATCTGACAATCTAGTAACCTGCCAATGTGGAACACTGACAAATGAGGTTCTAGGAACTCAGGCCAATAGTAGAAGACTGAGTACCCACCTAATGATGGAGCATGAACACCTATGGATGTAGTACATCTGGCCAATAGAGGAAAGCGGATACTCGATGCTCTAGAACTCTGGGGATCTAGAACACCTGAAATGACCCTTCAGTGCTGATTATTGTATTTCGAGGTTAATATACACTGACAACTACTAAATATATCACTTAAGATCCTAGAACTCCGGCAACGACCCCAGATAAGCGCTAGGCTACTCAAAGATCTAGAACCCAGCCAATAGCAGAACCCAGAAACTTGGGGGTCTAGAAGCATTCCAATAGAAGACTGAGTACCATACCAATGATGGACACTGACACCTATGAATCCAATATACCTGGCCAAAAGTGGAAGATACTCAATGCTTTAGAATTCTGGGAATTTTAAACACCCAAGGATCTAGTAACCTGCCAATGTGACACTTGAGGCTCTAGAACCCTCCCAACAGTAGAACTCTGACCTTTGTGGGTCTAGTATATGCTGCCAATAGTAGAAGATGGATAGTTGAGGCTGTAGATCCCAGCCAATAGTAGAACATTGACACTTGGGGGTCTAGAATCCTTCCAATAGTATAGGACAGAGCACCCTCCCAATGATGGACCATGGACCTAGTACACCTGGCCAATAGAGGAAGGCGGAAACTTGAGGTTCTAGAACTCTGGGGATCTAGAACACCGGAAATGACCCTTCAGTGCTAATTGTTGTATTCCGGGGTTCATAAACACTGAAGATACCACTCAGGAGCCTAGAACTCGGACAATGACCTCGGGTCGGTGGTAGGTCAGTTGAGGCTCTAGAACCCGGCCAATGGGGGAAGTCTGGTACTTGTTGGTCCAGACCCCAGCCACCCCCCTCTGGTAGAACAGCACAGTCCAGCCCGGACTCCTCGCAGTCACAAGCCGAGGTATCGGTGTGTCCCCATCCTCCGATCACAGCCCCTCCTCTCTCCGGTCACCTCCACCGGCGGACGCTGAGCACCCACACGCCTCTCAATCACCGTTAGCCGCCATTGCCCCGCCCTTCCTTTCCCGTCCGTGACGTGGAAGGCGGGGTCTGCGCTGGGCTGGCCATTGGCCGATGGCCCCCCGGCTGCTCTCCCCCAATCGGTGTGCGGGTCTGTGATAGTGCGAACAGGGCTGGAGGGGGATCGCAGTCAGCGCTGCTGGGAGGTGGAGGAGGGGGAGGAGGAGGAAGGATCTCCCACCGCCAGCTCCTCCATCGCTAACACACCGGGATCCGGGGGCCCCGCAGGTGAGCCGGGCAAGGGGGAGGTGATGGACGGGGATGGGGGGAGGAGGGAGGTGAACCGGGATGTGGGTGATCACAGCCGTTACACGCCGCTGGATGTGCGCAGGCGCAGTGCTGTCCATCCATCAGTCCGTCCGTCTGTCTGTCCTCACCGCTCAGTGATGGGATGTTCACGTGTCTGTCACATGTGTCATGTGTGTGTCACCGGGTCACTGATCGCCCCACTGTACACAGCAATGACACCCCCCATATACATATATATCCATCTGTACACAGCAATGACACCCCCCATATACATATATATCCATCTGTACACAGCAATGACACCCCCCCATATACATTATATATCCATCTGTAAACACCAATGACACCCCCCATATACATATATATCCATCTGTACACAGCAATGACACCCCCCATATACATATATATCCATCTGTACACAGCAATGACACACCCCCCCCCCAGGTACATATATACCATCTGTACACAGCAATGACACCCCACCCTCTATGTACATATATATCCATCTGTACACAGCAATGTCACCCCACCCCCCATATGTACATATATATCCATCTGTACACAGCAATGACACCCCACCCCCATGTACATATATATCCATCTGTACACAGCAATGACACCCCACCCCCATGTACATATATATCCATCTGTACACAGCAATGACACCCCCCCCCCCATATATATCCATCTGTAAACACCAATGACACCCCCCATATACATATATATCCATCTGTACACAGCAATGACACCCCCCCATGTACATATATATCCATCTGTACACAGCAATGACACCCCACCCCCCAGGTACATATATATCCATCTGTACACAGCAATGACACCCTAATGTACATATATATCCATCTGTACCAGCAATGTCACCCCACCCCCTATGTACATATATATCCATCTGTACACAGCAATGACACCCCACCCCCTATGTACATATATATCCATCTGTACACAGCACTGACACCCCACCCTCCATGTACATATATATCCATCTGTATGTGACACCCCACCCCATATACATATCCATCTGTACCAGCAATGACACCCCCATATACATATCCATCTGTATACAGCAATGACACCCCCCATATACATATATATATCCATCTGTACACAGCAATGACACCCAATATCCATCTGTACACAGCAATGACACCCCCCATATACATATATCCATCTGTACACAGCAAAGACACCCCTCCCACATATAGATATATATCTATCTGTACACAGCATTGTTAGCCTCCCATATACATATACAGTGGGGCAAAAAAGTATTTAGTCAGCCACCAATTGTGCAAGTTCTCCCACTTAAAAAGATGAGAGAGGCCTGTAATTGGCATCATAGGTAGACCTCAACTATGAGAGACAAAATGAGAAAAAAAATCCAGACAATCACATTGGCTGATTTGGAAAGAATTTATTTGCAAATTATGGTGGAAAATAAGTATTTGGTCACCTACAAACAAGCAAGATTTCTGGCTCTCACAGACCTGTACCTTCTTCTTTAAGAGGCTCCTCTGTCCTGCACTCATTACCTGTATCAATGGCACCTGTTTGAACTTGTTATCAGTATAAAAGACACCTGTCCACAACCTCAAACAGTCACACTCCAAACTCCACTATGGTGAAGACTTAAGAGCTGTCAAAGGACACCAGAAACAAAATTGTAGACTTGCACCAGGCTGGGAAGACTGAATCTGCAATAGGCAAGCAGCTTGGTGTGAACAAATCAACTGTGGGAGCAATAAATAGAAAATGGAACACATACAAGACCACTGATAATCTCCCTCGATCTGGGGCTCCATGCAAGATCTCACCCCGTGGGGTCAAAATGATCACAAGAACGGTGAGCAAAATCCCAGGACCACACGGGGGGACCTAGTGAATGACCTGCAGAGAGCTGGGACCAACGTAACAAAGGCTACCATCAGTAACACACTACACCGCCAGGGACTCAGATCCTGCAGTGCCAGACGTGTCCCCCTGCTTAAGCCAGTACATGTCCGGGCCTGTCCAGAAGAGGATTGGGAGAATGTCATATGGTCAGATGAAACCAAAATAGAACTGGTTGGTAGAAACACAACTCGTCGTGTTTGGAGAAGACAGAATGCTGAGTTGCATCCAAAGAACACCAGACCTACTGTGAAGCATGGGGGTGGCAACATCATGCTTTGGGGCTGTTTCTCTGCAAAGGGACCAGGACGACTGATCCATGTACAGGACAGAATGAATGGGGCCATGAATTGTGAGATTTTGAGTGCAAACCTCCTTCCATCAGCAAGGGCATTGAAGATGAAACGTGGCTGGGTCTTCCAACATGACAATGATCCCAAACATACCGCCCGGGCAACGAAGGAGTGGCTTCGTAAGAAGCATTTCAAGGTCCTGGAGTGTCCTAGCCAGTCTCCAGATCTCAACCCCATAGAAAACCTTTGGAGGGAGGTAAAAGTCCGTGTTGCCCAGCGACAGCCCCAAAACATCACTGCTCTAGAGGAGATCTGCATGGAGGAATGTGCCAACCTTGTGAAGACTTACAGGAAATGTTTGACCTCTGTCATTGCCAACAAAGGATATATAACAAAGTATTGAGATGAACTTTTGATATTGACCAAATACTTATTTTCCACCATAACTTGCAAATAAATTCTTTCCAAATCAGCCAATGTGATTGTCTGGATTTTTTTCTCATTTTGTCTCTCATAGTTGAGGTCTACCTATGATGCCAATTCCAGGCCTCTCTCATCTTTTTAAGTGGGAGAACTTGCACAATTGGTGGCTGACTAAATACTTTTTTGCCCCACTGTATATCCATCTGTACACATCAGTGTCACCCCCCCCATTTACATATATATCCATCTGTACACAGCATTGTCACCCCCCATATACATATATATCCATCTGTACACAGCAATGACCCTCCCCCCTCCATATACATATATATCCATCTGCACACGCAATGTCACCCCCATCTCATACACATGTAATGTATCCATCTGTACACAGCAATGACACCCCACCCCCCAGGTACATATATATCCATCTGTACACAGCAATGACACCCCACCCCCTATGTACATATATATCCATCTGTACTCAGCAGTGACACCTCACCCCCATATACATATATATCCATCTGTACACAGCAGTGACACCTCCCATATACATATATATCCATCTGTACACAGCAATGACACCCCCCATATACATATATATCCATCTGTAC